ATCACTGCTGCCGTATTGTAGATCAGCTTGTTAGTGTCGGTAATCGTGGTTGTAGGTATTGTCCGTAGTGCTGCATTAACATCATCTAGCAGACCTTCTGAGGGTACTTCACGTAATATATATATATATATATATATATATATATATATATATATATATATATATATATATATATATATATATATATATAAGGATTCCTTTTATTTTTAAATTTGCATAGTGTGTTCAATACTACACTGTGACATAAAGTATACAGCCTTATAAATATCCAGTGAAATAAAAGAAGAGTATGCAGAGTGTAAGCCAGTTTTGTCATGCAGACAACATCAGCATGTTTTTATTAACAGGTTGATCAAAAAAACCTTAATGATCAATAAAAAGACACAGCTCTCGTGTAAGAGTATGATGCATATTGTTTAAACATGGTTAGAAACATACATACAAAAAAGTGAAAGTAATTTAAAATGAAATGTCATAATGGTATTTCAAATCATGGAAATTGACAGCATGAAAGAAAAAAAAAAGAAACTCCCTGGAGTTTGTTTGATGGTTCTCTGGAGTTATGAAACACACTTCTCAGTCTGGAAATCTAATGGATAAGTCTGGGTTTGGTTGTTGCCAGGAGAATGGTAATTTTCTGACTGCATTGTGCCAAGTGAAAGGAACTGTAATGAATATTTAATCCTCCCAAATTTTTTGAAACAATTTGGGGATGGCCCCTGCCTGTTCCAATATGACTGTGCAAGAATGCACAAAGCACTGTGTCCATAAAAACATGGATGAACGGGTTTGGTGTTGAAGAACTGGACTGGCCTGCACAGGTTCCTGACCTCAATAGAACATCTTTGCGATGAATTAGAGCCGAGACTGCGAGTCAGGCCTTCTCATCCAACATCGCTGTCTAATCTCACAAGTGGTCTTCTGGAAGAATGGTAAACACATTCCTAAACATCTCAATGAGTTGAAGGGTGGGCTGACATCATCTTAAACACTATACATTAGAATGGGATTTCATTCAAGTTCATATACATGTGAAGGCAGACAAGCAAACACTTTTGGAAATATTGTGTATGTCTGTGCATGAGCGTAAATTTGTAAAACAAAAAACAATGATTCATTTCAAAATTCATTGTCTGGTGGGGCACTCTTATTCAGTTCTAGGAATCCCCTCGGTGATGATTACTGTGCTTTCTGGGATGTTTTCATAAATGGCTGGGTCGATCCGATCTAAAGTGGCAGCAGTGTCTGATTTTTGGGAAGCTTTTGAAAAGGTTGATGACATGGAGCGGGTGGACAGAAATAACAAATGGTCTTCTGCCAGTGCACTCTCGAGTACAAAACAAATGGACTGTCGAAATTTCTTCTGGAATTCTTCACACATGAAACATAAAGGATGGGGTTCAAGCAGCTGTTCAGAAAAGCCAGACTCACAGTCAGAGGACCATACATTCTAACAATCCCCTGGAGCTCTAACTTCAATTCTATGAAATTGAAAGTGTGGAAAGGCAACCAACAGATGAAGAATGCAAAAATGATGGAGAAAATGACCCGGCGAGATCTGCGTCTCCTTGTTCTCGGCATGCGCATTGCACGGATACCAATGGACACATAAGAGATCATTATTATCAGGAATGGGATCACAAAGCCCATAACAAAGCGAAAAATGTCGAGAGTCAATTTGTGTTCTTTGATTGTTGCAGAATAACCACAGGAACTTTCCCCTCCGTTCCCCACTGATGCAGTGCGAAAAGTGGCATAAGGAGTGCTGAAGACGCCAGCGATCACCCAGATCCCAGCTGATATGAGCTGAGCTTTGCTGACTGTGCGTTTGTTGTGTGCCCACACCACCACACAGATACACAGACAACGATCCAAACTCATGGCTGTCAGAGTAAAGATGCTGACAAACATGTTGACTACACTCACAAAGGTGTTGAGCTTGCACATGAATGTTCCAAAAGGCCATCGGTGACTCTGAGAGAGAGAAATGATCGAGAAAATAAGGAAGGCCGTGAAGAGGAAGTCAGCTATGGCCAGGTTGAGAAACCAAACCGAGTCGACTGTTTTCTGCATTTTGAATCCCGCCACATAGATAACAAGGCCATTGCCCAGAGTTCCAGCTATAAATATCACACAGTAGATGACAATGGAGGCTGTTTGTATGTGTGTGAAAGCTGCATCTTGTTCAGGTGACTGAGTTGCATTGAAAGTGATGTTATCTGAAAGCAAAAAAGAAAATGTTTTATTAAACAAATCATGTTTCCACAATATATTATATGAACAGATAAAATAAGAGGATTTCATTACATTTGTTGCCAAATTATACAAATTAAGTAATTTTTAATTAACAAAATACAGCTATGCATTTTCATAGTTGGCTCCAACACATGTTCTATGCAATACTAGCTTCTACTTTTGTGATGCACATACAGAATTCTGTGTGCAAGTTGATATTTGCATTTATCTAACTCACGTTTCTTTTGTGATTAATAACATAATTAATACCAGGTATGAGTGCTCATTTTGAACAGTTTAACAAGAACTCAAATAACCTTTCACATATTGCTGCTTAAAGAGAAATAGTAATATATGTCTAGACTAAATTAACTTACCCGTCCCCATGCTCTTTTTAGCTGAGAGAGTCTGCCGTGGTTGTAAGTTGATCTCTATCAGTTGCTGCTTCTACTTGCTCTCTGTCTTTGATTTCTCCTCCCTCTCAGTTTCTGCAGCTGCAGATGAATCAGTACGCAAATACAGAAATGAGCAGATAACAAAACAGTAATTTCTCAGAACACACTAATGCAACAACATTTGCCTGAACTGAATGAACATTTTTGTGATGACAAGTCTTAATAGAGTATTATTTTATAGCTAACTATTGTACCCTTCTTGCATATTTTGCTGTAGAGAGTCCCATTTGTGGTTACCTACATTGTGCTTCTGCTACACAAAAAGTCACTTGACTTATCAGATGGACATGAAAGACACACATATGCTAATAGTTTTAGAGATCATTTAAAAATCGTTCATAGATTTACCAATTAACATTATAGTGTATGTTTGGTATGTTGTTAACAAGTGTCAATACAAACAGTAAAATTCAGTTAAAAAAATGATGCTGTTGAGTTCAGTCTTATATTTATTGTCAAGGCTGAGTGGCCGGTGTATGGATTGGACCCTAACGCACACAGTCGTGTGATGTGAAGGCCCTGAGTAAATGTGGTTATCCCAGCTGGACTTTTGTCAAAGCTGGGAAGGTGCCAAAAGAAAGCTGCTACAGGCCAGTGGACACTCTTTCAAGGATGAGGATGTACTCATCCTGGACAGGGAGGAACGCTGGTTTGACTTATCTAATTACTGTGTCAGAAAAGTAACTTAATTACTAAATAAGTAATTTAACTAAATACTTCTTAAAATCCCTATAAACCTTGAGCGGGCAAACAATAGAAATTAAACTCTTTAAATAATAAATACTTTTTTTTTTTTAAAGACGGAGACTCTACTGTACGCAGCGGTAGCATCTCTTCCACAATGTAGACTGCAATAATTTTTTTAAGATCACCTTCAGACGCTTTCTGTGCTGCTGAAATAAAATCAGGTTTTGCCTGCTTAGCAGGAGTTGTCCATGGATGATGAACAAGGATCACTCAGAAGTGTTCGTCTATGCTCTCGTGTCAGGCGCTTCAGTAGATTACTCATGCTATTAACAGCAGCCGATAGTTTTTTCTCCCTAGGACATAGCTTACATATTACTGTAATATTCTTGTCTGCTTGTTTCAGAAAAGTGAAGAGACGGGAATATTTCTATTTCAAAAAACAGCCACTCGCTTCAGCCGAGTCCTACATATTCTGCTTTAGAATACGACTATGCAGCAAAGTGGCGCGAAATGACGTGCAGCTGCACTACAGCGATGTTAAAGCGGCAGAGTTTACGTCTACATTTAGAAGACAAATGATTGAAATTAAATGATTTCAGCGAGTTTAATTATTTTACAATGTAACACAAGTACATTGTAAGTAACTGTAATTAAAATACCTAAAAATGAACAGTAATTAGTTACTCTACTTTTTCAGTGGAAAAGTAATTTAATTACAGTAACTCGTTACTTAGTAACGCATTACACCCAACACTGCTCATGGCCTTTGATCGGTGGGTTTTGGTCAGTGGTTGTTGATCAATGGTCATGAGAATCTGCATAATTAAGATTAAGAAACTGACCTCCCAGCCCACTGTTCCTTCAGTGGGCAGGTTTCAGTCATTATGCAAATATACTGTTTAAAAGATTGGGGAAAACTGCAGCCAGCTGAGACTGAAGAAGACAATGGGATGAGTGACGAAACATTTCTCCCACTGAAAACGCTACGTCCAGATAAACAGAATCAGACTCAGAATCAGACTTCATCAGAATGTTTTTATTCTTTTATTTTATATACAAGTGTAACAAAATCATAATGCTCTATTAAAGTTCAGTGTCTTCTGACATCATTATGAATTCTGATCATAAAGAAAAAACTGGTTGATGAGCAGGAGTATTAAAAGCTTACTTAGAAACATATATAACTTTTCTCAAAGGAAATTTAATGATGGCAATCCAATTTCTATGAACAATATAAAGTTCAAAAAAAGAAACAAAAACAACCCCCTCTCCAAAGAAAGAAAAAAAAAAACGCTTCATGTAATACTTCATGTCATCCTTCTCTCACCCCAACTGGTCGCAGCAGATGGCCGCCCCTCCCTGAGCCTGGTTCTGCCGGAGGTTTCTTCCTGTTAAAACGGAGTTTTTCCTTCCCACTGTTGCCAAAGTGCTTGCTCAAAGGGGGTCATATGATTGTTGGGTTTTTCTCTGTATCTATGAAGCGCCTTGAGGCGACTTTTGTTGTGATTTGGCGCTATATAAATAAAATTGAATTGAATTAATCCTTTGTTTTAATCACGAACTCAATAGCTATAACTCCAAGCTGCAGCACAATAACATGGGTTTTCAGTTACTCTGACTCTTTCTTGCTTGTCTAATAATATGACAAGACAAAAACACGTGCTTTGTGTTTCTGTGCATGAATGTACTTTATGTTATAATCTGATGTGAAAGTTTTGGATTAAAAATCAATGAATTCCTTTTTACATTGCCTTTTGTTACACTGGATTTTGTTGCTGTGTGTTGATTTTACTCGGAGACCGGAATCTCCTCAGTGATGATCACGTTGCTTACTGGGATGTTTTCATAAATGGCTGGGTCAATTATTTTTAAAGTTGCAGCAGGATCAAATTTTTGAGACATTTTTGAAATGGTTGATGACGTACAGTGACTGGACACATGATCCTCTGCCAGAGCACTCTCAAGTACAAAACATATGGACTGCCGAAGCTTCTTCGTGAATTCTTCACACATGAAAACATAGAGGATGGGGTTCAGGCAGCTGTTCAGAAAAGCCAGACTCAAAGTCAGAGGACCCATGATTCTAACAATGTTCCAGAGGTCTGGGTTATTCACAGCCTTTAATTCTATAAAGTTAAAAACATGGAAGGGTAACCAGCAGATGAAGAATGCAAAAATGATGGAGAAAATGATTCTGTGAGATCTCCTTCTCCTTGTTCTCTGCATGCGCATTGCACAGATCCCTATGGCCACATAAGAGATGACTATTACCAGGAATGGGATCACAAAGCCCATAAGAAAGCGAAAAATGTGGAGACTCCATTTTTGTTCATGTGTCATAGAATAACCACAGTAATATGTCCCATTATCTCCTAACACGGTGCGAAAAGTGGCATAAGGAGTGCTGCAGATCGCAGCAGTCACCCAGATACCAGCACATATGAGCCGAGCTTTGCAGACTGTGCGCTTGTTGTGTGCCCACACCACCACCCAGATGGACAGACAACGATCCAAATTTATAGCTGTCAGAGTAAAGATGCTGGCAAACATGTTGACTAAAGTGACAAAGTTGTTGAGCTTGCACACGAATTGTCCAAAAGGCCACTGGTGACTCTGAGAGAGAGAAATGATCGAGAAAATCAGGAAGGCCGTGAAGAGGAAGTCAGCTATGGCCAGGTTGAGAAACCAAATTGAGTTGACTGTTTTCTGCATTTTGAAGCCCGTCATGTAGATAACCAGGGCGTTGCCCAGAGTTCCAACTATAAATATCACACAGTAGATGACAATGGAGGCTGTTTGTATGTGTGTGGAAGCTGCTTCCAGCCCAGATGACTGACCTGTTGCGAAACAAAAAAACATGAAAGCAATGCATCACAGACATTAGTTGAAACTTATAAAAACGCTTCTTTACTTAAGTGTACATGGCTATGTAATTGTTATGGTTGTATGTTATAGTGCTTGATTCTAACACATATTCTGTGCAACACTAGCTTCTAGTATAGTATCCAGAATATGTGACATACATACTTCTTTTATCATAAAAAAATCACATAAAATATCAGAAAAACAAGATAAAAAAAGAAACAAAACAACAAAAAAGGTTTGATTGTGTTAGCAGGTTAAAAACATTATATATATATATATATATATATATATATATATATATATATATATATATATATATATATAATATATATATATATATATATATATATATATATATATAATTTTCAAGTGCATATAATTCTATATTACAGTGCTTTGGCCTGGCACATGGGCTACAGTAGTTGCTCAAGATAGAGTACCACATTATGTGAAGTACTCACAGAATTCCTTGTGCAATTTCACATATTTATTTATTAATTTCTTAATTTCTGTTGTGATCAGAACTAATAACAAGCAGGCATACTCATATTAATCATTTTAGCAAGAAATCCTAATGACATTCACTTAATGCAATTTAAAAGAAATGCTCATAGATGTTTAAATTATCTTACCTGTCCCCATGGTTCTTTAGCTGAGAGAGTCTGTCTTTACTCCAAGTGGATTTTATCTTCTTTTTGCTTGCTGTCTGTCTTTGCTTAACCCTCCCTCTCAGATTATGCAGCTCTAAATGAGGCAGTATGCACATGCAGAAAAGAGTTGGGAAAAGAAAACAGGAACACTCTAGAACATGCTAATTCAGCAAAAACGGCTGCCTGCGAGTGCGCTGTTGGAGAAACGGAGCCAGGCAGACAGAGGAGAACTGAAGTTCGACCAGGTACCAAAGCAAATCATTCGTACTGTACAAATAATGTAAATATGACGGTGTATCACAAAAGATCGATATCAAACTGATCACTTGACCCATATTACGTTACTTGCTCTTCAAGTGAATTAACAAATGGCGAAATGAAAAGCCGAACAACAACAATGCTGTTTCTTTAGAGAGTCTTAGCTTACATGTGTGTCTATTTCATATTTTCAGTTGTTACTCTCCACGGCTAAATAAATCGGATTCAGTAATGCACTGATATACAAGAATGGACATAAGGGGCTTCTTTCAAAGAAAAAACTCTGGTAGTATTTTATATATTATGCTTTGTATGTTGTTCAGTATATACCTCAAAACAAGAGGAATTTCAATACACAGCAGTATATTCACAGTTGAAACCAGATATTTACATACACTTTATGGAAAACACAAGAACATTTTTTTTTACTGTACAACATGAGTAAACTTGTTTTGTTTTAGATAAATAAATAAATATTGAAATATCTTTTGAATTAGTTAATTGTCAGAATAAAGAGAGACAGAGCTGTCTATTTTTTTATCACTTTCATCAAATTTAGGAGTACATATACACTAAATTTATTGTTAATTAATAAGAAACTCCAGACGATTCCATTCTGAGCTGAAGAAGCTTCTGATAGGTTAGTAGAGTCCATGTGAGTAAATTGGTGGCACAGCTGTGGATGCTGTGGGATAAAAAGGGGGTGTTTTTTCTGTTATTTTAGTATCGGCATTATTAGTACATCAGAATCATATAACCAGCTTTGCATTAAACATTTATTGAAGCTTTTGACATTACATTTGTCATGATCTGGCTGTGTGGAGGCAGAAGAGGACCCAAACGCAAAACTCACGGAGACAAAAAGCTGAACTCAAAATCACTGCTTTATTGCAGGCTTCACAAAGAAACAGAACTAAATTGGGAATGCTAACAGAAAACCGAGGGAACACAGAAAGACACACAGGTCCGGGGAGGAGACATTGACAACGCGACACTGAACTGAGGGAGACATGAGGGAAGTGGGAGCACACGGGGAACACAGCTGACACAGATAATCATAACGAGACAGGGCAGGAGTGAACACAACATGACGCATACTGACGAGAGACTGTCAAAGTAAAACAGGAAGAGAGGTTCAGACAGGAGGAGAGAGCACAGACATAACGAGCTGGGGAAAACATTGAATGAAACACAAGGAGAAACGAGGACTCACAGATACACAGAGGGGCACACAGGGGGTAATCAAATAAGGAACATCTTAACAGAACCTAGGAACCACGGCATAAATAAGGAACAAAATACAAAAATACAAGAAAACTAAGAATGCTGGGCCAATATGGCCCAGGATCATGACAACATTAACATTTATATTACAATGATTGTTATAACCTCAGGTTAATCTTCTATTTACAGGTGGCAGAATAATCATATGATCTTTCATTGCAGGTGTAACCATGATCATCTCATACATATTGCAGTTTGTTGCTCATTATAGAGTTGTGCTCAAGTTAATAAGGGTTAAAAGCTACAGTCAGCGCGATGTCTGGCTGATCTATGGAGGGGAGAGGCTTCGAGCATGGAAGGCCGCACGCGCTTACACAACACTGATATCATGTTATTCTTTGTGATCTTATATTCAGTTATATCTTTTGTTATGTTTTAAGTAGTGGCAGTTGATTAAACAATATTACATACTTGCTTCAGAGCATTACACACTGATCACCTTAACAAACCTGGAAATCCTTGTAGCTGCAATGTTGTGTCTCCATAGGGGACGGTTGGCTCCAGGAGATAAGCGGGAGTCAGTGCCTGTCCTCGGGATGGAGAGAATGTTCCTTTGCTGTGTCAAATAACTGTCAACATTGATTGTATTGTACCTGTCTTACGCATGAAGGGGCGTTCTAATACCCTGATTTCATAAAACTATGGAAATGTGGTTTTTGAGGTGAGATCTGATGCTGTCTGCGTACGGTGTCCATCTCCCACGCGTGTGATCATTAAAATCATCGTTTGACTCAACCCGGCCGGACCAGTGTTGTTATTTTGGTTTTTCCTCTTGTATCCATCCCCAATATTTGAATCCGTAACAATGCATATAAGGCAAAACACAGAGCCTGTTTCTTTGAAATGGGAAAATCAAGAGATGTCAACCAAAACACCAGGAAAAGAATCGTGGAGCTCCATAAGTGTGGCTCAATTTTGAATACAATTTGGTGCCATTTACAATTAAGAAATACAGATAGTTTCTCTCTTTACTCTTAAAGTTAACAAATATGTTTTTATATTTATCAATCTAAAAAAAATAAACATTTAGTCTGATTTGATATTACAATTAAAAAAGTGTATCTGTTTTTATGTGAAGAGTTTGTAAATATCTGGTTTCAACTGTAGATTTGATGATTGTCAGCACAAAGAGGGAGAGAGAGGAACAGAGATGGAACAAGAGCAGGTGAGACACACGTTAGTCAAATGGTTGTTTACCAAAAGTATCACCGTATCACAGGTCCTCATGTATCTCGTACCTAGTGTTCCTTTTTAGGTTTGTTATTTTTCAAGTTATATATTTATTAAGTTATGCAGGCTTGTTTGCACAACAAGGCTAAATAATTATATGAACTTTTCTCAATCTAAATAGTGCACTTTGGTAGAATTAAAAACTAACCTGAGTTTTTCAGAAACTACTGCAGAAACTGCTGCATATTCTACAGTAATTTTCCCACACAGCCATCTTTAGGATTTACAGAGAATCATCTGAAAAAACGTAACGTGAGTTTTCATTATGTGGTTCGGAATCACCAAGATGGAGATGGATAACGTTCCCAGCAGCATGTTTACTCTCTGCACCTCAACAACATAAAAAACAGTTCCTGTGTAAAGCCTTCATGATAATCCTCTGGCCACTCAGAAGCCAAAAAGCTTTGCCAGGTCTGATGAGCCTCAGTCTCTGTTATAGGATCAGAATTTGGTGTAAATATTATGACAGAATGGATCCACCCATTTTTTTGCACACTTAAATACACTAAGTACCAACCGAGCATTGTTTACATTCCACAGACTACTGGAGGATTGCTGTAGTTTCTTGAACTAGTTTAACATGAGTTCACTGTACTCAAATGGCCTCCACAGTCACTAGATCTCAACCTACGCCGACAGATTGGATGTGCAAGCATTATTAAAGGTCATAAAACCTGTCTTGGTGGATAGAAGGCTGTCACATTATATTGGTCAAATTAACGTGGGAGGTACTAAATGACTCATATGAAATATTTTATTTTCACAATAAGATTAATCTTTTATTTACAGATTTTTCCTGGAGATTCTTTAAAAGGCCCACAATTTCATTTTCTCAATAGTTAACACAAACTTCTCAAGATCATCTGTGCATGTCTGAGTACAAATCCAATCCAGAAAATGAGTGGGTGACAAAGAGGTAACAAATACTGAACTTACTGACCAGCTACACATAGATCCCAACAGGACGGCTCCAATACCACAGTTGCAAATGTGTCTGCATTCATTTTTAGTATTTGTGCTTTTCCTTGTTGTCTTTTGTCGTGGAATTTTGTAAATAAAGTCTGCAACACTGAAAGAGCTGTGATCAAACTGTCACGGACTGTAGTAGGACTCAGGCACAGAGCAGAGGTCAATGCAAGAAACAATGTTTATTTACAAAGTCACCAGGTACAGATATATAGAGTGAGGGAATAGCGGGGGTCCAGGGTCATAAAGGAAAGTCCGGGAAGGGAATCACGTTCACTCTTGCTCCTCTCTTCACAAAGGTTCACACGTCGGGTTGGTCACGGCTCCGGGGAAACTGTGCACAGAAAAAGGTGGGTTACGCTAACGCAGAAATCACAGACAAACTTCACAGAGCTAGAGATGACAAAGCTGAGATTCACTAACGTGTCTCACACAATCATCCAGCGATGAGACTGTCTGCGTCCCGGCCTTAAGTGTCCAACCTGTAACTGGTGCCTGATGAGACACAGGTGTGTACGCCGAGGGCGGGAGCCCGCAGTGAGCTCCGCCCTGGCGGGGAGGCAAGAGGAGAACGTACACAAAAACACATGTGGCCTTGTCAAGCCGGCCGGGCAGACACGGGGACCATGACACAAACTATTTATTACTGCGCAGGAGAATACACATACACACTCCCAAACATGACAGGTTCATAGTAATGAGCATTCTAACCTCGGGACAAGCATGTTTATAACATCCCACAAACTGTATATCGTTTCAGTTACAACAGTCTTTTGTCCAGCCTGGGCTGTTGCTGCACAAACAAGACTCCCACTATCCTTTCCCAGGCCACCACCTGGCGCTGGCCGTGCACTTCATCCTTCTGAGCAAAACAGTTAACAGATAACATAGTGAAACATTGTTAGGCCTAGCTAAGCAGTTTTCACAAGCTCATGCTGACACATACTTGCTTCATCTTAAGCAGGTTATACAAAAGTTTATACAGAAATCATACAGTGAAGATGTACCAAAAGCAGCATTAGAGCTTGTGAAGCTTCAGATACTTTAGACACAATAGCCTGCAGAGACCTGGCCTGATGAAGTAGCTCGCCAGAATCGCAATCACAAACAAAATTACATTTATCACCAAGGTTTTACCCAGGTTTGTCTGCTTGTCATAGTGCGCCAGTGGTACAAAACTGAATACATGTCTCTCTCTCTCTCTCTCTCTCTCTCTCTCTCTCTCTCTCTCTCTATATATATATATATATATATATATATATATATATATATATATATATATATATGTCATCAAATTCCTGTAACATTATTTCCTATAAAGACAAAGGCCCAGTCAGCATTTACTCACATTTGCACAGAAGCCTTCTATATGGTGTTGTTTTGTTTCCATGGCCACTGTGTCTATGGAGATGGTGTTTGCTTGGTATTGCAGTTCTGTGTGTCTCAGTGCATATTGAATCCTTAGCCAGATTCTAAGCAGTACCAAACATTGCAGTGATTTGCTGTCATGTGATTGACTGGTTAGAAATTTGCCTTAACACGCAGATTAACAGGCGTGCCCAATAAAGTGGCTGATGAGTCTAGGTTGTTGGCTTTCCAAAATCTAATTTTACTGACACTTCAGATCCTCCATGAATGCCACCCGTTAACTTGCTTATATAGAATTAAAGAAACATTAGACAAAGACAATTGCAGTCTTTGGCATTTCGAGTTTTTATATACACATGTTTCATTTCTAAACAGCTTGACAAAGGGAGTGATCACAGATGACCAGTTTTGGGACAATGTGTTCAAAAGGATGGGTTGTCAGGGTTGAGCTTGTAAGCCAACTCTGAATACACTGCTTGTCCTTCTTCTAACATTTTCACACTGGAGAATGGAAAACTGGGTGTGAATGTAGCATTTGTGGAATTGTTTTTCTTGAGCAATATTGGATTTATTGGAATTTTAACAATGACTGAGTTTAATGTGCTAAAGGGACAGATAAATATTGTATAATTTTACAGTTTTTGAATCTAATAATGTAAATCATACAGTCGCCATTGTAGGATTGTAGTTTTGCGTTTAGCGATATTGCAAAATGTTTTTCAGCAACATTGTGGTAAGAAAAAAATGTAACAATGTTTTTATTGCTACTGAGTTCCATTTTTAGTTTTAGCATGAATAGTGAAGCAGGTGTTGTTCTGATAATAAAAAAAACCACAAGAAAAAAGAAGCAAGCACAGCACATCTGTGCAGCAAGATAAGATAGATGCTGTTTAAATCTCAGGTTCATGTACCACACTTCATGGTTTAATAGCTTACAAATAATATTAATGTTGGTCATTTTTGGGACCTGTTTTCATCGTTGTTTTGTTTTAAAAGTGATGTTTTTGTGGTTTGTGGTGTACTTTGATTTACGCAATGTGTTCCATTTTGCAAATGCAAGAAGTATACAGCACCATGATATCCTGTAAGATAAAACAGCGGTTGCCAGGGCGCAAGTAAGGTTTGTCAGTCAAATGCACCCTTTTATCATGTTTTTCTTTACCAGACAAAAGAAAAATGCAAAAAACTCAATCACTGTTCAGTCACTTGTCACAGTTTTATAGATGTTGATAGTGATTTACATGGTTAAAGAAGCTGGAGCAATAAAATGTAGATATATATATACAAATATAAAACTGATGTAAAAATTTTGACATTCAAATGATAGAAATCCAAGACCTTCAAAACCACAGTATAGAAGTCTTATTTTCTTTTTAAAAAACTTGTGTTATATGTTACATTAATTGATTAATCAAGAACTTAATCCGACTGATTTGATTGGATTATGGTTTCATGCATAATTATATTGTGCCTTACCCCAACAGACTTATAGGACACCCATAATAATCAGAGCCAGGGTACCAACATTATACTGTATGTTTCAAAGAGATGAGATGAACATCTTGCATTATTGATTTATTTCATCATCTATTGGTGAGATCTTATTAAGTGCTAAGTGTCTTTTCAGTGATGACTACTTTGCTTTCTGTGCAGGATTCAAAAGCAGCTGGGTTGAGCTTCTCTAAAGTCGTGGCAGTGTCTGACTTTCGGGAAATCCTTGAAAATGTTGATGACATGGAGTGAGTGAAGATAAATGACACGTGGTCCTCTGCCAGAGCACTCTCAAGTACAAAACATATGGACTGCCGAAGCTTCTTCGTGAATTCTTCACACATGAAAACATAGAGGATGGGGTTCAGGCAGCTGTTCAGAAAAGCCAGACTCACAGTCAGAGGACCCATGATTCTAACAATGTTCCTGAGGTCTGGGTTATTCACAGCCTTTAATTCTATAAAGTTAAAAATATGGAAGGGTAACCAGCAGATGAAGAATGCAAAAATGATGGAGAAAATGATTCTGCGAGATCTCCTTCTCCTTGTTCTCTGCATGCGCATTGCACGGATCCCTATGGCCACATAAGAGATGACTATTACCAGGAATGGGATCACAAAGCCCATAAGAAAGCGAAAAATGTGGAGACTCCATTTTTGTTCATGTGTCATAGAATAACCACAGTAATATGTCCCATTATCTCCTAACACGGTGCGAAAAGTGGCATAAGGAGTGCTGCAGATCGCAGCAGTCACCCAGATACCAGCACATATGAGCCGAGCTTTGCAGACTGTGCGCTTGTTGTGTGCCCACACCACCACCCAGATGGACAAACAACGATCCAAACTTATAGCTGTCAGAGTAAAGATGCTGGCAAACATGTTGACTAAACTCACAAAGTTGTTGAGCTTGCACACGAATTGTCCAAAAGGCCACTGGTGACTCTGAGAGAGAGAAATGACTGAGAATATCAGGAAGGCTGTGAAAAGGAAGTCAGCTATGGCCAAGTTAAGAAACCAAATTGAGTTTACAGTTTTCTTCATTTTGAATCCAGTCACGTAGATAACCAGAGCGTTGCCCAGAGTTCCAACTATAAATATCAAGCAGTACATGATAATGGCGGCTCTTTGTATGTATGTCGAAGCTGATTCCAGTGTAGATTGACCTGTGAAGTATTGTATTATTATTTTAACACATAATATAATATAATATAATATAATATAATATAATATAATATAATATAATATAATATCATATAATATAATATAATATATACACGCACACACAAAATAAGTGCTTTGCAGATTTTATATATGTATATTAAAGTATTGGCACATGATCTATGCACCATATCACAAGATCATGCGTTTCAGTTTGTGTAACTTAACATGTGCACAGCTTTAACTAAATTTCTGTTTTAGTGAGAACTGACAACAGGCATGTAAGTATCTTACCAGTCCCCATGTTTCTTTTAGCTGAGAGATTCTGTCTTTACTGCCTCTTCTAGAAGTCTTTGATTACTCTTCCCTTTTAGTTTACGCGGTAGCAAATGAAGCAACGCACGCAGAAATGAGCTGATAGAAAACCAGCAACACCCCAGAATATGCTAATGCTGCAACACTTTTGTAATTATGCTTCAAAAGTGGGAGACGCCTTACATGTGTAATACTGTACAAGGTCTGTCTTGTTATAGTGTGTGGTTTCCAACATTTTAGTTCTGCTATGCAGTCTTTAGTAACCACTTTCACTATCCTACCCAATCACCCTCACTCTCTGGCTTATCAGATGGGCATGAAAAACAACAAACCAACAGTAGCTGTTTTAGAAATCTATTGTTCTGTTTGTCACAAATTCACCAAACATCAGTATTGTGGGATTTGCTAACATCAAATGTCAGTTGTAATAGTAATAACTAGTAAAATACTAGTGCGATTGTTATTCATTTACCGATAATATTGTAATCATTGATGGAAAGATGGGAAATGTGGTGTGCTCTTATTTATTTTGCTAGCAGTATATTAAAGGGAAGCCTACACATGTGTGTTTTGCTGATTTATTTATTTTTTTCTTAAGCTTCAGTTATTAGCAATTGTTTGGTCGACCCAGCTGCGCAGGTAGGACACACGAGAATACACAGCAGGGGTGTAGACATTGCAGTTAGAGGTTCCCCAGGACACAATACCAGTGAGGTACCATACACCACTGCTCTCACAGACCAGAGGGCCACCAGAGTCACCCTAAAGTAGACAAAGGGGATGTTTTTACTTTGTTGATATAAAAGAAAATATTATATTTTTATCATGCTCTTGATATTATTCAGCAGTGATGCATTTAATTTCTGCATTTTCTGAAAATTCTGAGCTACCCCCTAAAATTTGACCTTCTAAGAGTATTTCTGATCATTGTCATAATCATTTTGAAGTGGTTGTTACCTGACAGGAAGACACTCCAGAAGCACCAGCACAGATCATGGCATCAGTGATTCTGTTGTAACCCCAGTAGCTCTTGCACTGATCAGGGCTGATCAGAGGCAGGGCGGTCTGCTGGAGGAAGCGAGGGCTTGCTGAGAAAAACAAAAAAAAGGATAGGAATAAAAAGAATTAGTCTAATTGCAAACAAAGTCTTTCACATTTTTCTCCAGGAACTATGCAGCAGTGTATATTATTCATTTATTTATCTGCATTACCTTTTTGTAAACTAAGTTTTTTACACCAGTGTATTGTGAGATGATTATCTCAATTTACCCGTTGGAAAAAAACTCACATGTTACTCCAGTCCGGCCCCATCCAGTGGTGACACATTTGGTTCCAGAGGGGATGCTGCTGGTGGAGGACATCAGGCACACAGGTGACACACGGGAAGTATACTGTGCTGGGGAGGACAGCCTCAGAAGAGTGATGTCATTGTTAAAGTTCTGGGAGTTGTAGTAGGGGTGAGTGATGGCCTAGATGAAGAGGTGAGGATAAACCACACACAAATATAATACGATTCAGACAAGGGCTTTGATGAAGACAACTTTCATTTGTGTTGTATTATAGCTCACCCTAGAAATGTACATGACCTGAATTGGCTCACTATTGTACTGCCGATCATGTTCTCCCAGGATCACACGGTGGCGTGATGGACTAAAAAAAAGAAATAAATCAGGTGGATGATCAAAGTGTTGGAAGACTTATTGTGTTGCTACAGCACTCAAGTGACTTACTTCACACCGCAGTGAGCAGCAGTGACAACCCAGTACTGGTTGATCAGTGAAGCTCCACAGAAGTGGAATCCAGTGCTATCCTGCAATAAAGAAAAAAAATATCTGTAACAAACTTCTACATTTTAATTTAAAATGAAATAAGTTGTTGTAAATTGTGACTGTAGCAAAACCACATTGTTTGTGAGTAGTAAATAACTGAAACTACCTGAAGCGAAACCTGCCAAGGCCAGGAGCCAGACACAGCATTTTCCCCGTTCACAATCTTGTTGTATCCACTCACTTGGGGCTTGATAGCAGGCACTCCACACCCTGAGACCCAGTGACATAAAAAAAGCTCAAAGTTATTTGACAAAAAGTGTCAGAGTTAATTCTGTATGTATTTTTGTACTTGTCTTTTTTGGTGGTGCACAAAATGCTTAACTGTGTTTCCCATTTTCGCACACAGCTGACCAGTGTGTAAAGTATTTACTTTTGTGCAGCTAGTCAAACAGCAAGAGTAAAATCCACAACTACCACCACAGATCTCAGAGTGTGGTAGCAAATTTCTTTGTCATGAAATCACAAATCACTCACCCAATGCAGAGGCCACAAGAGCAAAGCAACTGATGATCAAGAACATGTTTGTGTTTCGGTCGTGATTCCCGAGTTTCAGATGTGGGGCACACTTGCTTTTATATGCACATCCAATACGCTTGACCCTGAACTGCATGTGTAGGTCTTCATGCCGCACCCACAATCCCCCCTTTCATGTGCCCACAGTATGGGAAAATGGCATCTGGTGATAAACTCAGTTTTTGCTGAATTCTAAATTCATTTTGCTAAAAGGCAAAAGCACCAAGTTGTCATGTAATAGACAGGAAAAACCTTTCATTGACCTTTGATCAAGATGTTCCAAGGTACATGCTCTTGCTTGCATCTTATCTTTCAAACTCACACATTTATAGTCAACATCTCACCTCTTTTTAACATCGACCTTCTTTCATTGTGGCAATATTTCCTGTAAATATTTCTTGTTAATAGGCAGGAAAAAGATACTGATCAGATTACATGTGGTTCGTTTACAGGAACCAGTTTTATCTGCACTTTTCTACAGCTGCAAGTTGAGTGTCTCTGTGCATACCTTAGTTTCACAAATGAGAAGATACACACGTTAAAGTTTTCAAATCAGAATTTTACTGTTGATATTTATTGATTTTTTGCATAAAAAAGCATTGATACAAAGGTGTGACTTTTAAACTATCTAAATATGCATCTGGATATTGAATGTGATGTGTGCTTAGATATTGCAAAATATTTGTTATAAACTTGACTAGATATTTATCAGATGTGTACTAGGTAAGGTGAATATCTATTGGCAAATAGTAAAAAACACTGAGTTCAGTCAACTTCCTCGATAGTTGGGCCAGAAGAGGAGCCACCTCCTGCACCGCCAGGGAAGCCACCGGGCATTCCTCCTGGCATTCCTCCTGGCATTGCTCCTGGCATGCCCCCTTGATATAGTTTAGAGATGATAGGGTTGCACACCTTCTCCAGTTCCTTCTGCTGGTGATCATACTCCTCCTTCTCTGCCATCTGGGGAAAGAAAAGAGCAAATATACTCTACTATGACAGAAGGCTTTGTGGGTCAGGAGTTGACAGGAAGCATATGACAGGAAAAGGAAAAAGGATATTGATTCATAACTTTGATACAATGTAATGCTCACTGCTTTCACAATTTTAGATAAAGAGGAACCTCGGTCTACTTTTAAGGCATGGCTTTTTACCTGGTTTCTGTCCAGCCATGCAATGACTTCGTTGCACTTGTCCACAATAGTCTTCTTGTCCTCTGGGCTGATCTTGTCTTGGAGTTTCTCATCCTCTACGGTGCTCTTCATGTTAAAGGCGAGAGATTCAAGGGAATTCTTGGCTGTCACTTTCTCCCTCTGGACTTCATCCTCAGCCCTGAACTGCTCTGCTTCCTGCACCATGCGCTCAATGTCTTCTTTGCTCAACCGGCCTGTGACAGAATTAAATTTTTTTCCCCTGCATTCATGTATAGGATTTGATTTTTTCATAATAAATTTGCTGCTGGATATATGAATTAGTATGTATTTTTTCATAATTGTACCTTTGTCATTGGTGATAGTTATTTTGTTCTCCTTTCCAGTGCTTTTGTCCACTGCAGACACATTGAGAATGCCATTTGCATCAATGTCAAAGGTCACCTCGATCTGAGGAACCCCTCTTGGAGCAGGTGGAATACCAGTCAGTTCAAACTTCCCAAGGATGTTATTGTCCTTAGTCATGGCTCTCTCACCTTCATACACCTGAAAACAATTATTCATATTGTAGCTTAATGTATCAGAGTCAGGTTTTAGTGTACACAAGTACCTAGAATGCAGCTGGGCATAAGGGTTAAACAGTTACACAACTTTAACCCTGATGTACCTGAATGAGCACACCGGGCTGGTTGTCTGAATAGGTGGTAAAGGTCTGGGTTTGCTTAGTGGGGATGGTGGTGTTTCTCTTGATAAGGACAGTCATTACTCCTCCAGCTGTCTCGATTCCCAGGGAAAGGGGTGTGACATCCAGCAGGAGTAGGTCCTGTACATTCTCAGACTTATCCCCAGCCAAGATGGCGGCCTGCACAGCTGTGGAGATTTTCCACAAAGTTAAACTGATTATGGTTTCAGTCAGCAGCTCTGTTTTATTGAGCCATAGTGCCAATAATATAGCCAAATATATAGTGATAAATACTGCAGAGACCCACCTGCACCATAGGCGACAGCCTCATCAGGGTTAATGCTCTTATTGAGGTCACGACCATTAAAAAAGTCTTGGAGCAGCTTTTGAATCTTAGGGATACGTGTGGAGCCGCCCACCAGGACAATATCATGGATCTGTGTCTTGTCCATCTTGGCATCCCTCAGGGACTTCTCCACAGGCTCGAGGGTTCCACGGAACAGGTCTGCATTGAGTTCTTCGAAACGGGCCCTGGTGATGGAAGTGTAGAAATCTGTACCTTCATAGAGCGAGTCGATCTCGATGCTGGCCTGGGTGCTGCTGGAAAGGGTACGCTTGGCGCGTTCACAGGCTGTGCGGAGGCGACGCACGGCTCGCTTGTTGTTGATGATGTCCTTTTTGAACTTGCGTTTAAACTCAGCTGTGAAATGGTTCACCATGCGGTTGTCAAAGTCCTCACCGCCCAAGTGTGTGTCACCAGCAGTGGCCTTCACCTCAAAGATACCGTCCTCAATAGTCAAGATTGACACATCAAAAG